ATAATATAAATGGGATATAAAATTGTTAAATACTCTAATGATGTGTTTTTATGTTAGAAACAATTTGGAGCAGTGACTTTCACTTTCGAAACAGTTAAAAGCAACAGCTTTAACCATGGAAACGTTAAGAATAATAATTTCGAACTACTTAGAACTAAACTTAGAGATAAATTTATTTAATACAGCATATGTATATGAATAACTAATTGTGCAACTTTTTAAATAATATAATAATTATTATGATAATAAGTAATATTTATTTATAATATAGAAACATAATAATAGAAATATAATAATATTTTTGCATAAATCCTGCACAGTTTTATAAAAAATGCATAATTTATCTTAGATTTACTACAATTTAAAAAAAAAAAAATTCTGAATGAATTTAAAACACAATCAGGATATGATTGGAATAGGTTTAGAAGAATTTCAGAGAAAAATGTCTGATTTTAAAGCAAATATGGAGCAGCAATTGCAAAATTAAAATTAAAAACATTTTATCTACTCATGGAATAAATATACCTTTAAAAGAAATTAAATTAATATCATAACGTAACAGTTGGGCTGAAAAGTTCGTAGGCTGACACGTAGATGGAACAACTATTATTAAAAACATATGATTTTTAGTTAGTTCTAACCTTCAAAAGACACGTGTATAAATTTGACAGCTGTCGGACTAACAGTTTGTGAGATATAGTATTTTTAGTGAAGCAACTTTTGTTAGTTTAAAAACAATGGATAAAAAGGAATTTCGCGTGTTTATAAAGCATTGCTTTCTAGCGAAAAAAAATACTCTTGAAGCCAAGACTTTTCTTGAGAAACATTATTCGAACTCTGTACCAGGAAAATCAACCATTGAGAAGTGGTTTGCTAAGTTTAAACGAGGCGAAATGAACACCGACGAAGATGCGCACCGTGGACGCCCCAAAGAGGCTTGGCTGTTAGCGACGAAAATATCAAAAAAGTCCACAAAATAATTTTAGATTACCGTAAAGTGAAGTTGATCAAAATATCTGAGACTCTAAAGACATCAAAGGAAAGTGTTAGACATATCGCGAATGAATACTTGGGTATGAAAAGCTCTAGGCAAAGTGGGTGCCGCATGAGCTCACAATTGACCGAAAAAAACAACGAATTGATGATTCTGAGCTGTGTTTGAAGCTGTTTAATCGTAATAAATCTGAATTTATGTGTCGATATATGACAATAGTGAAACATGGCTCCATAATTTCACATCGGAGTCCAATCGACCGACAGCGAGTGAACTGCACGAGAAGAACCAACTCCAAAGCTTGGAAGGATGCAAAAGTCAGCAGGCAAAGTTATGGCATCGGTATTTTGGAATGCTTATGGTTTAATATTCATTGACTATCTTGAAAAAAGAACAACCATCAACATCGACTATTACATATCGTTATTGGAGCGTTTGAACTACGAAATCGCAGAAAAACGGCCCCATTTGAAGAAGAAAGTGCTGTTTCATCAAGACAATGCACGGTGTCACAAGTCAATAAAAACGATGGCAAAATTATATAAATTTTTCTTCGAACTGCTTCCGCATCCACGATATTCTCCAGATCTGGTCCCCAGCGACTTTTTTCTGTTCTCAGACCTCAAGAGAATGCTCGCTGGAAAGAAATTTAGCGCCGATGAAGAAGTAGTCACCGAAACTAAGTCACCGAAATTGACAGGCTTAAAAATATTTCTCACTTGTGGGCGGATCATGCAGGCTTCTTAATTTTACATCACCATATAACGTAAATACGAGTCTCACTCCTTCATCGAAGAGTGAGACTCGCCTTTCTTCTGGGTTTGGATTCAAAATTACAAGGCTATTGTATTTAATATTATTAGCCAGAAGCTTCGGCATGAATCGCTGTTCAACGCGACTGTGATTATAGAAAATTACTTCTTAGAAAAAATTTGTATGACTTTAGTCAGAAAGAAAAAACACGCCCGTAGTTTGTGGTCCAACTGTTATCTTAAATAATAAACCTAAAATAATTTAATAATAATTTTTAATGCAATGATAACAATAATGTAATAATAATTTTTAATAAAATAATAATAATAAACCTAAATAAAAGCCTAAAATAATTTTTTATGTGAGAGTTCAAAATTATTTTTTTCTATTTCAATTCTTATGCAATGTTTTTTTATATTTTTATTGTAATAATAAAATGCTTAGTAGATGGTTAAGAAATTTCCTTTAGAAATTTAAATACAATAAATTACTATTTTTAAACTATTCTAATTGACAACCAACTATATTCTAACAATAATTATCTCTGGATAGTGTATACTTATATATCCGTTTTGATCAAGTTAGCAATAGTTCTTTCCATTAATGATTTATTTTGTTCAAGAAAATTAATTAATTTGGTACAGTTCAAACTGTGAATCATTACCTCCTGTGAAGTTGTTGCTATCGACGGCAGAAAATGGATATTTTCGGAAATATTTCTAAAAGCACTTATTTATTATTATTATTTATTTTATTCATTAGAGGGAATCTATATTTCCCACTAATTGTCGATAGAAGCAATATATATCGTAAAGTCAATTTAAAAATACTAAATGGCTTACAAATTTTTATTGTTTTACTTACATTATATGCATGTATTGAACGCTAGTGATCCTAGTACTTCTTAAACTTTTTAAAGGATTTTTTTTTTCAAAATGAATAGAAGTTTTCTTTTTTTTTTAATATGAATTATGATTTAAAAATTTATGTTAAATATGTTTCGGAAATATTTGGATGTATACTTTGTAATAATGTAATGTAATATTATATAATATATGTAAATGTAAACTATATGACACATGTCAAATATGTAATTGCCTGATCAATATTGCTGCCATATAGAGAAAACATTCGATTATTGCTAAGGAAAAAATGACATTTCTTGATCAGTTTGTTAAGTTTTTATTTTCACTGGTATTTTTTCCTTTTACTAAAAAAAGTGTGTTTGATTTAAAATTTTTTGCTAAAATTTTAAATTTGGTTTAAAAAAATTTAAAAATTTAATTGAATAGGTATTTTGTTTAACGAAATAGTTCTTCAGTCTCGTTAATTAAGAGAACGAAAAAAATAATTAAACTGAATAAAGTCTTAATTTATTTTTTTTGATCATTTTTACTTAACCTCAGTGCAACAACGTTCAGAAGGGAAAAATGACTTCATTTTATTTTTCAGTATTCGAATATTGCTATTTAAGTGTAATCGAATCAAAATTGCAGATTTTAATTTAAAATTATTTTTACTCGAATGAAGTGTGTCAACTCTGATAAAAATCAATAAATAAAAGAAACGGTTGATCGAATTTGTTCATTTGTTGTAGAACCTTAGAGAAATGTTGTTTTTATCTTAATTTAGCGATATTGAAAATTAGTTATATTTAATTCTTACATTTGTTTGCTTATTTTCCTGAGCTTGCCACACAACAATATCGGGGAAAATAAAACGAATTGCTATCTACATTTGGTCATTCTTTTATAAAACATTTAAGCGATTATTATTGTTTAACAGCAAGAGACGAAAATTGCTAGAAACATATCATTACGATAAATAATGTTTTAACATTTTTCTTTACAAATAAGTTTAAGAATAATCATGCATTATTTTTGTAAGTAAGCCAATAAAACTATCCATGAATATCTTAGCTTATTCAGAAAATTTATTCAATGTATTTTCTTTATTATCTGTTCATTAGTAATAGAAGTAGGAAAAGAAAGTAAAAAAAGTAGTAATAAGAAAGTAGGAAAAGAAATAATTTCACAAATAGTTGCAGGAAGGATATGACATTAATCCACGTCATCACATTAGCTAAAATGTTTTGTAATTTTTTTATTTATCGTTTCGAACATTCCACTTAAAAAAATTTCTCTACGCCATAATATGTTTTATCTATTCGTTAATTTCGTTATAATAACAATAATATAAAATTAAACTTTTTTTTTATCTCAGTTTTCAATTTTCTTTTCAAAATGTTCTCAGGGTTTATATTTTTATTCATTTTCATTTTTATTCGATGTATATGACCTTAAATAAAAATTCGGCAAATTCTGTTCTTTTTGACTTAAAAATAATGTTTATAATATGGTACAAATAAATAAATAGACGGATAATATTGTAACATTTTGCTACAATTTTCTGGAAAAGTAAGTTAACTTTATTTTTTTATGATTGCAATTGATAACAAAATTTTGTTTTATGAAACTCTTTTTGATATGATGAATGAAAAAGTATGCTCGAATTAAAATAAAAAGTATGATGAAAGTAAACTTAGTCTATTACGCAAGGGGTTAATTTTTTTCGATTCAATTTCTTTTCTTAATTCCACAAATTAAAAAAAAAAAAACTAAAGACAATTAAAAATAATTTCAATAAAACTTTCAAATAATTTTTAGTTTACGGGTTTTAGAAGTTTTGCATTAGTCCATGTGTTATGTAATTCAAACTCCAGTTGTGAAAAAAAAAAAAAAAAAAAAACTAGTNAAAAAAGAAAAAAAAAAAAAAAAAAAAAAAAAAAAAAAAAAAAAAAAAAAACGAATTTATTTCAGTGAAAGTAAGCTTTCTTTTCCTCTATCATGTTTACATAACTTTACACTACTATTACAGCATACTTCCGTAAAATGAGCTAAACTCATACTCATAACATAGGCTCATATTAAATAACATGTATACCATACATGTTCATTTAATAATTAATAGCATTTGCGTTAGTGTTTGAAATAATGTTTGAAATAATAATTTGGTGTCTTCCCATCGCATTAACTAGAATGTTTTTTTTTTTTAAAAATTTATCTTTTTATATTCTCCATATATTCCATATAGAATACAAAATTATATTTGGAGATTTCACACACTCCTATATTTTATAACAATTACAATGATTTATTTTTTAGCCATTTTAGTCATCTAAATCTTTTTTGTTATATTGAACTATTGGTATTTAATTTTTGATGTATTGCATACTGCTTATTAGCCCAATATTAGCCGCAAAGATTAATCATCACTAATGAGACCGGATACTGCCTTGTTTTACTGCTTTCACGAAATTTTATGACCTCTTCAATGTTTGACAAAACGATCTAAGTTCTTAAATTCATCTCATTGTTCAATAAATGCTCAGGCATTTTTTCGAACTATATTAGAGAAAAGTTCACCCCCTTTTCTTTGTGCTTCGGCATGATCTTCAAAGGGAGTCTGATTGTAGTACCTCCATAACTAATCGATAGATGGCGATAGTGCATTCCGATCCGAAGCCTACGTTTTTTCCCGAAGTGAGTGAACATTATCCGCCTACGGATGTTCAATCCATCTCCCACGTTTCTTAACCAGTTAATTTGTTCATTTCTCTTCCTCTTCTCTTTCTTCTTTAAAATCTACTTTCTCTGGAGCGATTCTGCTCTTCAATTCCTCTTAATCCCGGATCTTTTAAAAGAAGAAATATTTCCTGTTTTTGTTTCTTTATGCCTCTCTATCAAGTAATGCGAAGGTTTTATTCTAGAATCAGCGATTTCATAGTTCTCTTTGAGGAAGTTGTTTTCTCCGTGTTGTAACATTTCTAGCGGTGAAACAATATTTACAGCATACTTCTCCGGAGGGTTGCAATGTTACTCACTCGATGTAGGGTAAGTTATGATTGTTTCGTATTTAATTGTGAGTAAGTTCATTCTCAATTAGGTCACGGAATCGGCTTTGTTTATGTGTCTGACATTGTGAATGTCACGTTATTTTATGACTGTTTAGTAAACATTTTAATGTTAATTTGCATTTTTTTTATAAAAGTCTTCAATTAAAATGGATTTTTCATAACAATTGGGATGTTAGAATCTTAATTAATTTTCTGGAATATTTCTGTTAAATATGGAAGTTCTTGACCTTACAATCGAATTCGAAATGTTAAAATAAACTTTACATAACGCTTTGGACACTTAAAATCTCATTATTTCCGGGATTTATTTACACTAGGTTTGAAAATTTTGATGTTACTTTCAAATCGCATAGAATTTATAATTGTGTGATTCAAACACAGTATTTATCATAGATTAGGCACACATTTTTATCTGAATTTATTATTTTTTTTATCAGATTTGAAGTTTTTCATGATGTCTAAAATCCTTTTACATTAGTTTTCTCCCAATTCAAACTATTAATAAATATCAAAATAATGAGAAATATTTGTACGAATTTCTCAAACCGAAAATTCCAATTGATTTTTATTAATAAAATAATTGATTGACAGTTAAGATATGAGTTTTAAAACTCATCTCAAGTCTATCACCGGAAATGTTCCTTTTTATTTAATTTTATATAAAACTAAAAATCATTATATTAACTAATTTTTTCTTACTAAGTGACTCACATTAAAAATTTTTTTATAAGGTGAAGGGAAAATTAGTAATTACATAATTCTTTTTAATTGATCATATTTTTGACAGATTTTTTTTCTCCATAGAAATAGTTGGAAGGGGAATTTGTTAATTTGAGTGCTGCAGAATTCTTCTTTAATTTTATGAACATTAATTTTACTGCTCCAGTTGTATTGGCCAAGATAAAGTTACTTACATAAACTTCAAAATTTCGTAAATTCAGTTTATTTTTTTACTTATAAAATTTTTGTTCAATTTAAAGAATTGTCATTTATGATTTTTTTTTACTTTTTGAAAATTGGTACACATTCTTGTAAGTTTACATCATATTACTCAAAATTAAGCAATAAGTTTTTTTTTTAATTGTACACAATTTTAAAAATATTTTTAGTTACCACTGATTTTAAAAGTTTTGAGTCAATGTTTATAGTTAATGTATTGATTTATCTGTTTAACCTACAATAATTTAACCTGTACGTTCTTAGCAATCTTAAGATATGTTAAATTCGGAAACAGATCTTATCTAACGAGGTGCAAAATTTTCTTTTTTTTCTTCATGAAATTTCTTAAGCAGTTTTGGAATTTCAAAATAATATTAAGCACTTTAAACTAAAATGTTATTTCAATAAAATTTTACAGTGATTTTTCTGTTCTTGTAACTTTTCGATCACGGTATGTACCGTAAACTGTTATGCTTTGCTTATATTATTTTATGAATATTTAAATTTATTTCTTTACCCATATTTATTAAACCTTTTTTTTTTCTTCAAGAAATTCCTAAATGTGTTGAACCCGGCAAACGATCTTCTCTTATTACTATTCATAATTTTTTCTTTTATGGGAATTCAGATATTATTTTTGAACTCTTCAATCTAAAACTACTTTTTAAAAAAATTTGTCTATGATCAATCTGTTCATGCAACGTTAACAGCACTGTCTTTAGGTTATACGAACAGAAACTTATCTTTACCGCAGCTTTTTATGCAATACTTAATTAATTTTCAATAATAACCTTTGTTTTTTATTCCTCTTGTTAGTCCTCGTTTTCAACCCTCTTTAAAATTCATTGTAGCTAATTTTTTTGATTTATTAAGTTTTAAAGTTGTTTGACATTTTTATCATAAGTTGGCAAGTTCATATTTCAGTTTTGTGTTAAATTGTGCACCATAATAAGAAAAATAATTTTTTTAATACTGATAGGCTTTTTCTCTGAATGTTATAATTTGATGTATTTTTTTCTCGTTTTTTGGGTTAAAAAAGATTGTACACCCTATTGAAGTAATTTTCTTGACTTAGTAACCAACATATTTCAAAATCATGTTCTTCGCATAACAAAAAAGTTTCATTTAAGTTTAAAAAATATTTTTATCTTCTAGAAATTATCACAGTTTTTTGTGAATAGCACATTTAAATGTTTCTATAATGTGTTTTGGAGAAATAAAATTTTTGTAAAATAAAAATTTTTTTAAATAGTATTTTTTTTAAATTCCTGCAACAAATTTTTGCTGAATACATTAAACATTTCTCGCACAAAGTTTTGTAGAATGCATTCAACATTCCTAAAATAAATTATTTTGCTTCGTTTTAAGCTCTTTTCTGACGCTTTATTACAGAGAAGTGGATGGATGTTTTAATTTATATTGAGTAAAATAGGAAAACGTTTGTGCTTTTATATTTACTTACGTTTCCTGCATTATTTGTTTTGTCTGGGATGTTAATCAATAAATTACAGGTTCTTATTGTTTTTTAAGGAATGAGAGAAATAGAATTATTTGTATTTGCATTTGCATTAAGTCTCTAATGTTTAATGAAAAAATTGGAAAATAATTTCATTATTGTTCGCATTTTTAAAGTAATAATTTTCGATTTTCTAAAATAAATTTGCAATGCAGTTTTTTTCCTCCTCTGTCTGCATGATTAGTTGAAGTTCAATTTTTAAGCCCTGAAAAAAATTAATCAAAACATTTTCATGATTGAAACATAACTTTTTCACTTCAATTGTTATGAATGATGTTGAATGCTGTTTTTACTAAACATTTTTTAGTGAACCAAAAAAAAAAAAAAGCCCTGTTTGTCATTTTTTTTCTTGACAAACACGTAGTTAGGTTAATGTTTTAATTACAAAATTTTTAAACAAAAATTTAAACTTGGTGAATTTTATGAGAAATTTTCTTAAAACTATCATATAACGTTTTTATCCTATGTTGACACTTGTGTAATAGTTAAGCCTTTTTTGCATAGATTGTGGAATATTTCAGTATTTCTGGATCAAAGTGAGTGAGAATCCTTCTTAAAATTTAAACAATATACTTATTTTTATAATGTAATAGTAATATTTTAATGGTTTGATAAATCTAATTTAATGAATAATAGTTTAATAAATCTAGTTTTAGAAATAAATAATGTATAAATGACTTCCAACAAATTTGATTTTTGGTTATTTACGATTAGTACAGTTGTTTAGTCGATTAATAATACAATATACTCTCGATATCTTGAACTTCGATACCTCAAAAACCTTGTTTTGCTAAAAAAATAATTTTCCCCTTTGCATTATATATCCGCCTAATGTTAATTTAAATTCCTTTGACAAAGAGTTTCGTTACAAAACCTTGTTATGTCGAATTTTTCACGAAATAGAAAATTAATTTTTTATTAAAAATCACATTGTAAGTTTGTTGTAAGCCAGTTCTTTTCTATTTAATGCGTATTTATTTTTGTCGTACTTTTAAAAATAAAATTATCATTGTTGTATTTAGACTTATAGTCAACTATCATTACATGCATATTTATAAGTAATTATGTTTCATGACTCCTGTTTTTGGAGTAATATTTTTGAATATACTTTTCTACTTTTTTGAACATATTTAGTTCTGAATTTGTTATCTCGAAGACTTGCTATCTCGAATTTTTTTAAGCATTCTTTCAAATTTGAGATATCGAAAGTATACTGTATAAGTTTAACGTTGTATAACTTTAACAAATTTTGTCACTCTATTTGAGAAACAGAATCATAGTAGTTTTTTTAACTCAAAACTGTTGCTCTCCTATTGTTTGGTTGTCCCTGTGTAATCCATTGTAGACAATGGCAAAGATACATGGTTATGATTAAGATACATGTGTGAGCAATGTGCTTCATGTTAGATTAATAATTGAACAAAATAATTAACTAGTTAAAACATCAAATAAAAAGAGAGTGAGTCTTTTTTATCAAAACTAGCATTGATACTTTTAATATTTTTATATCTTAGTTAACGTAAAATCAGAAGAATAATAGTTTTAAAATATTTTTTCTTTAAAATGCTTTTATATACTTTTTAATATTGTTTTTTTAAGTTATTAAATATTTTTTTAATTCTATGATGAGATGTTAATGGGTTTTTTTTAAAAAAAATTGAAAATTATAGATGTGTAGGAATTGATAAAAGTTAAACATTTTTGCCTACTGCTAAAAACTAATACATAATTCATTAATTAAATGCTTATCTTTTAACTGCGCTCATCGCCTGCAATTTTGTGTTTGAATTTATTATAGTCCTTTACTTTTTTTATTAACTACTTATGAAAAATCACTTTATGAAGTGTTCACCTTTACTTGCTGCAATCCATTTTTAAAATTAGGTTAATATTGATGTTTCCCAACGTAATGAATGCTCTTGGAAATGAGGGAGTGGGGGGCGTCATTTTATGGCTCATTTCCAATTCAACATGTCCCGCATGTGTCAAGACGATAGAATTTTTGTTCGATACGCCTCTGCGAAGATAATTCCTCACAGCATATGCCTAGAATTCCAATAAATTTAAGGATTTACCTGCTTACATGCGTAATTGCTGTTGATTAAAATGTACGCCGAGTAGCAATTAAGTTCCATCGCGCCATTTCGGACTAGCTTAGAACTGAGTTTGTTCCAAATGACTTTGTAAAGTACTTTTTTCGTTTCTGATGAGCCAGAATCAATTAAGTACATCCTGGTGATAAAAATATGTTTCTTTCGTGTGCATAAAGTTTTAATTTTCTCTTATTATTGAGTCGTGCTTTGGATGACCAAGATGCAGACGCTTGAAATTAGTTTGCTTGCGAGGCGGTTTAAGTTGTTCGAAAGAGAAAGTCTTTTTATGTCTTAAGAATCTTTGATATGCACAGTGCCATGACGGAAGTAATATTTAGATTTATTTTAAATCGTATTTAGGGAATTTTCAGCCGTTAAAAGAATTATGGTTCGTTTATGGTATTTTTAGCTTCGTTTAAAAAAAAGTTT